ACAAAAAATAAAAATAAATTAAAAATTTTAAGTTTTATTTTTTTAAGCATATCTTTTTACTTTATTCTCACATATTATCTTTTTTTAAATATGAGATGATTCATTATCTTTGTCCTCGTTAATCATCATATTTCTTTCATTTTGGTCACTTTCATCGCTCATCACCTTGTTGCTCTATTGGAGTCATCTCCACCCGTAGTTATTGTCTACCACCTTCATTGCTCATCGTGTTACACTCAAGACAGTCTCTACCACCACGAGACCTCGTCATCGTATTTGTCGCCTTCACCTCTCATGCCAACTCTAGGCTTATGCCCTCAAGAAGTGAAGAAAATCAGATGGGGCAAAAGTAAGAAAGACACCAACGAGAGTGATGATACATAGATGAGGACAACAATAAGGGTAAGTTCACGATGTGAGAATTATGATGAGAGTACATGTGAGGTAAGATGAAGGTGAGAGGTTAAGATAACGATCAAGATGAGATGAATTTGACAAGTGATTGAGGCAAGGTGAAGCCTAGGATAATCTCTTTTTTTTTTTCAAAGATGCTCTATGAGAATAAAACAAAAGAAAAAAATGATGTGCGTAATAAAAATAAAAATAGATTTTTAACAAAAGAATTTATCTAATTTTTAACCTTTGAAAAAGTCAAAAATTACCATTGGTTGTCTCAACTAAAGTCGCGCCTTCCGTGACGACTTGGCATGACAAACATCGTGGTGGGACAGTTTCATGACTTTGGACCCGAACATAAATACGAAGCTTATTTCCGTGAAAGCCTACCTACGTAATGTTGGCACGGCGACTTGGTATACGCCTTCACGAATGGGTTGCCGAGATGTAACCAATGGTTGACTTAGTCATGTAATGATCTTTCAATTATATTCTTTTAGTTTATGTCGTCAGATGTATCAGAAAGAAAGATCTAAAGTTCAAATCTCAAATCTAATTTTTTTGCTTCTTCATGTAATCATTTATTATTCTGTCTCTGCCACTTCATCCTCACATCCAACCTATGAACGATTCATTCATGTCTTTAAGGTAAACGAAACCGCATGCGTAGTGGGAACGGCAAACAGCACAACCGTGACGTATCCCTGACTTCGGAGATCGATGCGAGCACCAAATGTTCGTAGAAAAGACCGACCGCTCACATCTACTATGTTTCGTTCTTTTGCAGGTTAGGTTAGATGTAGCTGATGGTACCTACTTGTTGCAGCTTAATGATATGCGATCCATTCTCTTTTCCAGGTTCAATGGTCATCATGGGTTGCTTGTTAGGTTGGACTTCACCTTTCTTCTGCTAATCAAGATCCAAGACAATAACCCACGTAGATGCAATCAAATTTGTCTTCTCATGTATCTGTAGACCAGCCCATCTTCCAGAACCGGGGATTAGGAGGTGGAAGATGGAGCGGTTTCACACATGAAGACATGAGCTAAGCATGAAGTCCTGCGCTTGGAAGCTTAACGTGTTCACATGAAGACCTGGGCAAAGGTGAAGCTGTGGTCTTCGAGGGAGACCCAGGCACAGAAGTCCAAGTGTTGCAATTCGTGGAATTGCGTTCCCCACGCCATGAAGATTCAATCAATCCCTTTTAATGGACAGGTGAAGCTGTCTCGTTTCTCTTTCAGATGGGACTCGAGACTCGTCAGAAGACTCCACCCCATGTTTGATGGAGAGAGAGAAAGTGCTGAAGACCAAGGCGAGAAAAGTATGCAATCATACTCACGTATCTTTGCACACAGACAGAGAGAGAGAGAGAGAGGACGGCTACTATAGTTGTTTATATCCATGGAGAGAAAGCAGAGGTGTCCATGATCCTGAAGCAAGAAGCGTGTGGGTGGAAGGAAAGGAGGCACCCACGGAAGCAAGAAGCGTCATGCTTGCTTCCCACCTGATGCCAGTTCTTCTTCCCCTGTCAACGGACTTGTTTGACACACCTTCTCAGTTATCACGCACAAGGTTCGCTTGAAAGTTCCAGTACGCCTCCCCATCCTCGTCGTCTTCCTTGAATGGTTACTTTTTCTCTGTTCTGATCATATTCCCGCCGTGTTATCTTTGCTTCGACCTCCTCTCCTTAACTCCAATCTACCTGATTCCGCACACGCTTTCTCTGTAGCCCTTATCCGGGTTCTTGTATATTTGACGGACGCCGAATTCTAGAGCTTCTCCGAGTACCAAGACATGGCATGCTTTGGCTCCTTCAGGAAGAAGCCGAAGGGTGCACCGGAGAGGAACAGCTCCCCGGCCGTGACCTCCGCGACCACTACTGCCTCGAGCAGCAGCAGCACCAGCCGGTCCGATGGTTCCGCTGCCAGAAAGCATTCAAGCATATCTGCCGGCTCTACCACGTCGCAAAAGAGCATTACGGATTTGTACGAGGAGAGGGCTCACAAACTGCATCTTTTCACGTTCGATGAACTGAGGAACGCTACCAATGACTTCAGCAGAATGAATAAGATTGGGGAAGGTGGATTTGGAAGTGTCTACAAGGGATACATCCGCCATCCAAACGGAAGAGGTGGCAGGACGTTGGTGGCGATAAAGAAGCTGAACCAGAAAGGCTTGCAGGTATATGTAGCTACCTGTTCGACTATTTTACCCTCTCCTGTGAGCATACTCAATTCGATCCTTATCGTAGAAGCAAGTAACAATCACCCAATGTGTGTTCTCGAGGATAATTGCCAGAGGGTGGTTAAATGTATCTTCCGACACATGCAATGTCTTTCTTCATATATTACGAACGAGTGCTAATAATCTTCTTTACCCGCATAGGGGCATAAGCAATGGTTGGCAGAAGTCCAATTTCTTGGGGTTTTTGAACACCCAAGTCTTGTGAAACTTGTCGGGTACTGTGCCAAAGATGGTGAAGGAGGGATTGAGAGGCTGTTGGTGTATGAGTACATGCCTAACAAGAGCTTGGAAGACCATCTGTTCAAAAGGGCTTACCCTGCTATTCCCTGGAATTTGAGGCTGCAGATAGCTTTGGGCGTGGCAGAAGGGTTAGCATATCTGCATGAAGAACAGGTTCAGTTCTTGTCTCATCCTTCACGTAAATGATCAAATTTGCACCCTTTTCTTAAGGAAATTAGCGGAGACTGTGAGAGAAGCATGTTATTTTTGCATCAATCTGCTCTACATATATTGGCAGGTGATATATCGGGATTTCAAAGCATCAAATGTGTTGTTAGATAAGGAGTTCAACCCAAAACTCTCCGACTTCGGCTTAGCACGAGAAGGACCGACTGCGGGACGATCTCATGTGACTACAGCGGTACGTGTACTTCGTCAAAGACACTATCGCTATGTGTCTTTTGAACATAGAGCTCATGCTTCCTTCCATCACTCGTTGGAGTCGAACAGGTGGTGGGCACTTACGGATATGCAGCTCCAGACTACGTCGAGACGGGGCATCTCACAGTCAAGAGCGACGTTTGGAGCTTCGGGGTGGTTCTCTACGAGATCCTTACGGGCAGGCGTTCGCTGGAGAGGAATCGGCCACCAAACGAGCAGAAGCTGTTGGACTGGGTAAGGCAAAACCCCGTGGAGACCTGGAGGTTCAGCTTGATCATGGACCCGAGACTGCGAAGCGAGTTCTCGCTCGGAGCTGCACGCGAGATAGCCAAGCTGGCCAACAGTTGCCTCGCCAAGAATCCTAAGGAGCGTCCGTCGATGAGGGAAGTGGTAGAGTGCTTGAGAAGAGCCGCAACTGATTCAAACAGGAGGAGAACCGATGCAGTATCCTCGACGAGGTGATGAGAAAGACGTCGAGCTTTGGAAGTGTCAACTTTTCCCTTCATGTGTCTCCTCTGTGTGCAGTAACCAAGTGAGAGAGCTGCATTTTGCTCGTAGACAAATGCAGCTTTAAGCTTCGCATAGATCTTGGCATGCTCTCGTCTTACAGCAAGCAATGTGATCGAGTCGAACAAGAAAAAGTCAAAGATTTATCTTGTTTGGACATTGGTCCAATCATTTAAATGATCAAATCTAGAAACTGTTAGATCATGTGATCCTTTATAATTAGATAAAATATATAATAAAATTAATTAGATTTTGATGATCAATAAAAAAGAAGTTCATATTATAATAGAATTACTTAGGGGATGATGTCCTTGATGGGAGTAACTCTCTTAATAACTTATCATAAAAGATAAAATCTTTATAGGTTAAACAATGCATCTCATAAAAGACGTTGATAGATTTTGATTTCTCTCTTAATCTCGATGGTGACTTTGCAGTCACACAAATATCCTTTTTAGATTGTATCAAAAGGTATGTATCGTAAAATCGATCTATTATTATTTAAGTTCAATCATAACGTAAAAGATTATTTTTGTATTACATATAATATATTACATATTTTATACTTACAGAAACCAGTTGAAAACAGAATTATTACACTGTGAGATGCTAATTAATCTCATCTTCTTTCCATCGAGAAAAAGAAACGATATCAGAAGCGTAACTCTCACTCCTAGATCAAGAAACCCTGAAATTTTCTACATGATCTCCCACACACACTCGAAATCTAGTTCGAGAAGCACGGAGGTGTTTAGCCATCAGCTGATAGCAACGACCGCTGCGTCGGTCCCGAAGCGTTTCTCCTCGCACAGCTGGAAGCCATGATCAAGCTCGGCTTACGCTTCGCTGAGAAGGCCCGCTGCGTGGACGACGCAGAAGGAGAATCACTATAAGAAGCCACGCGATCCTTCTCCAGAGCCTCGTCCATATCCATTTGCTCCCGCCGGCACTCCCTGCTGCAGAACGGCGTGCCACCCCTACAGCGCATGAAATCGATCACTCCCACGAACGAGGGGGAAGCAGAGAGAACTGAATGGAACGAAGCATGTCGAACCTGTACATGAAGATGTCTTCGTTGCCGGCTATGGGCTTCTTGCAGAGAAAGCAAGCGTCATGGAAGTGGTGGTGCGGAGCCTCTTCGTCGACGACGACGGAGAATAACTCGGGAGACGACATACCTGGAACAGGCTCGGCTCAGGTAGCGGATGGGAGACGCTGGTGGCTGCTCGTGGAGGTTTATAGATGCGCCACACAAAACTGCGGGTGGGTTGAAGCAGAAAGCGTGAATCCATTGGCTGGGAGAGGTCACTCTCATCAGTGTTCCGACCCTACTGCTTCTGGAAACCTTATCTTTCCTAACAACTGTTCGAGTCCCGTGCTCTGCTGCCGCTTGCGCTTACAGCAGAAATATGCGCACTTAGCAAAAGTTGATTGGATGGAATCAATATCATTTTACCAAAGAAAAATGTCAATTGATTGGACATTTATCTAATGGCACCCCTAATTACTTTTTACTCGGGTGCTATTTTTTTATCACTACGAAGAAAATACTCTTTATCCTGTTTTCAAAAAGTTGAAGTTATTATTATTATTATTATTATTTATAAATTTTAAATTAAATTAAATAATTATTTTATTAAAATTTCACATACAAAGGGGATGAATTCATTTTCAAAGGGTTTTTATATTTTTTATAAAAATGCAAGCATTCACAGAGAGAACTTACCGTAAGCTATACCACCTAGCAAAATAAAGCATAGAATGAAAAAATAATATCATAAGAGTTTTAGATAGAAGCTATAAGTACAATAGTATATTTGTTAAATCGCTTTCGTAGTATGAGAAAAAATATCCTATGTGGTATAATTGAATAGAAAACCAGATGTAAGTCACTTAAATGTATCTTATTGTTGCATACTTTCATGTTCTTAAAAAATAAAATTTTTTGATGACAAAATTATTAAATGCATATTTATGCTGTATAATAATAAAGCAAAAGTTTCAAGACCTTATGATCTTATAATTAAAAAATTAATTAAAAATTATAATATTATTTTTAATGAAAAAGAAGTTTAAAATCCTAAAGCAGTTGAAATTCCAATAATTGTAGAAGCAAAAATCGATGAGGCACATGATACATTATCTATTATTAACACTTCACTTGAACCTTCTCATATTTTAATGTTGATCGCTCACATTATTTAGTTGCTAAGGGGTATGCTCAAATTTCTTCTGCAACTTATTATGTGATTGCTAGAATTAATATAATTAGAATATGATTAACATTAACAAAAAATTATAGGTTTATCAATTTGATATTAAATCAAATTTCTTGAATGAAAAATTATAAAAGGAGATTTATGCAAAGTAAGATGAAGGATTTAAACTTAAAGGATAAGAAGATAAAGTCTACAAATTAAATAAAGTACTATATGATTTAACACAAGCACTAAGGGGATGGTACAACATAATTGATAAGTATTTTCTTCAAGATAAATTTTAAAGAAAATTAAGTGAGTCAACTTATATAAAAATTATTATCTATTTGTATATGAATGGTATGATTTATACTAAAAATTCATTAGAAATGCTTATTAAATTTTTAAAAAAATATCATATCAAAATTTGAAATGATTGATATGGGGCTTTTATATTATTTTCTAAGAATCAAAATTATTTAAGATACAAATTAAATTTATTTGTGCTAAGAAAAATATGTTAAAAACTTGTTAACAATATTTTATATGATAACTTATAAATCAATGAATACTTTAATGAATGCAAATGATAAACTTAAGTTAGACAATAGAGTTAAAATAATATAGAAACAATATATAAATTTAATTAGAGAGTAAATTTATCTCACACATTTAAGGTCGAATATTATATTTGCAGTTAGTTTGTTATCCAAATTCATGCACAACCTCAGCACGCATCACTTTTGAGCAACTAAAAAAGTTCCTAGATCTAAATTATAACATTCATTAGGTAAAAGATTTTAAATTATATTCTCATCTAATAGTGATTAGACTAATTTTATAAATGATATAAAAAAGCTTCAGGATATATGCTTAGCCTTAGATAATGGGTGATTTTATAAATTGTTATTTTAAGCTATGAGGTGGAGTATATTGCAACTATGATATGTTAAACAATTTAGCTTCAAAGAATTCTAATATTTTTTTAAAAAAAAAGATGGATCAAGTATAATCTATTGTGATAATAAATTTACCACTACAACTACTAAAATCCTATCTTCTATAGGAGCACCAAACATATTAAAAAATCACATCACTTCATTCATGAGCTAGTCGATATAGGAGAAATTAAAACGTACAATTACAGCATCAAATATCAACTTTTTGACATCTTTACAAAAGCCTTAGTGAATTTTTTTTAATTTTTTTTTATGAAGACAACTTTAAATTAAATATATTTTGAATCACGATGGTGTTATAAAATTAATTCAAATAGTTTAGATTAGATACAATAAAGGATAAGAATTTAGATTAAGATAAATGGATAAGTGGTTGATTTATGGGTGCATGGAATAAGGATGAGGAAGTTTGTTGAGCTATGATTGATTTTTTTTATTGTTTAAAAAAATTATACTTTTATCATTTTAGCTAATATAAATGTGTACCCTTATACGAGTCCAAGGCATTACAAGTAGAAGTACTCATCATTTCTTCTACTATCTTCTTCCCTTTCTCTTTGAAGCTCTACAGAAAGCTAGCACATCCTCCATTGACCGATCTTGCCTTCGCCCATTACAAGCAGTGGTATGTATCACATCTGACCCTTGCTCCAATTGTCGCCTCCTCCATTCCTCATTCACGTCATTGAGCTTTGCTCCAAGCCTTAGAAGATGATCGGAGCTCATCTACGGGTTATCCACTAACATGTCAACTAATGGGGTTGGTGTAGCCAACTCAGTGGCTCACTAGGTTAGGCCCACCTTACCTTTAACGATGCTGACACTGTTGGGCTAGGCTATTGGGCTATGTCGACACTGTTGCCCTTGATTATGTTCATGACCTTGAGTCATGAAGTTGGGAGAAGAGAGAGAAGAAGATGAGTAATGGGGAAGGGTGGGTGAGAGGGGAGGAGGGAGGAAAAGGAGATGAAGAATGAAAAAGAGAAAAAGGGGGAAAGGGGAATGGAGAAGGAAAAAGAGAAAAAGACGAAAAAGAGAAGGGAGGAGGTGGCAAGAGCAAAGCAAGCGGGAGAGGCAACAATATGGTCGATCGATGGAGGATGAAAAGTATTTTTGTCAATTTTTTTGATGTAAAATTTCTAATATTCTATTTGGAGAAATAATCACAATTTAAGTTTAAAGTTTAAATCGGTTGTGTCAAATGTTCTTTAACACTCATCACATTCGATGTATGAAAATTATGTTTATAGTACACCAATATATTGCGTCACTTCAAGGATGTCCCAAAACTGACTCTGAGGTCAGACCGTTATAAACCGTTGTAAATGCTTGTTGCGGTTTCGGGGAACCGTTACAAAACGAAACGGTTCTCAAGGACTACTGTACGAACACGTTACGCATTCTAAAACCGCCAACGAACACTACGAACGAGCTTACATGTACGGTGATCACGCAGCTTCACCGCACGATCACGATCACGATCACGATCGCACGGACCACACGTCCCCATCATCGGACCAAACGGACCACCCACGGAAGAATTCGAAAGCATCTGTTCGGTGCGGTGCACGACCTCTTAACTGCGCTAACCGAAAGCTGACGCGTGGCGCGTGTGCTGTCACCCAACAGAACCGTACCAACAGGACGTCACGGTTACGCTCACTGCCATTTCATGTTGGCATGCAACAACCGAATACACATAAGAAACGAACGATATTATAGCTAAAATTTCCATTCATTTAGAAAAATTACAAAAGGGGACAGAGAAGAGACGAGAAGTGTAATATTCTATATGTGATAATTTTCTTTTTATTCTTTTTGAATTTGGACGGCAGTTGATGTGCCGCGATTTTGGAGTGGAGAGGTGATGATAAGGCGATGGCGTTAAGAGAAGGCCACGTGGACGATTCTGGTGCTGACGCGCCCGCAGGCGGGGCAAGAAGCCGCGGCGCCGGCCGCCGCGCAGTCGACACAGAGGCAGAGGTGGCGGCATGGGAGCACCACCACCGCGGCCGTGTTCCGCCGCCGGCAAGCGCGGCAGGATCCTGGAGCCATGTCGACGCACGTGGCGGAGCCGGCGTCGTCAGCCGCCGCAGTGCCACCGCTCTCGCCCTCCCTCTCTCGGGCGACCGCGGCCGCCTCCGCTGCCTGCTGAAGCTGTGCATGGAGGGCAACGGCATGGGATTGGGCGGCCGCGGCCTTGCCCCGCCACGCCAGGGACTCGGCTTTCAGGCGGGCCAGTCGTTCCTCCAGCTCGGCGCGGTGCCGCAAGGCCTGCTCCACCTCCGCTTCCTTGGCCCTTATCCTCCGCCGCGCCGCAGCCGCCGCGGCACTCACAAGAGTCCGACAATGTGATCGCCATTTCCCGGCCAATGTGCTCTGGAGGAGTTTTCCCTGCCGTATCGGTAATAGCGAAAGAAGCCACCTATGTTAGTTTCTTCTACTCACGGGAACAGAGGAAGGTAAACCAAATGGGAAAGGAGCGACGACGAGCACCTGCTCGCTGAGGAAACCATCGATTTCATCCTGGCACCGGGTGAGGTGCGGAGCGAGTTCCTCGAAGAGGGCGGGGGGAGAGGGACGAACATGATTCATGGTGCACTGCTTCTGCTGGGCTCCGAAGGCGAGTTGGAGGCCGGTGGAGACGAAAGGAGCAGTGGATTTGGATGGAAACTGAGCGAGGCTAATATACGTCGGCGAAAGACTATTTGATTGCAAGAACAAGAGATTACTGATATCAGTTTTCTGCGCTGTAGTTGGCCCGTTGGCCATGGAAACCGCTGTTACTCGCGTCTCCTCTCTCGCTCGCTTCCTTGGATTCACAGCCCCTCCTGTTCCACCACGAAACATTTCAACGATTAGGGACAGGGAAAGGCAAAAGAAGAGCAAATTTGACCCGACCTGTCTCGGTGAACACAAGGGTCGAGGAGTCTAAGAATCCCTGCAGGCCCTGGGACAAATCGATGCCCGTCGTCTCCTCGCCTCTGCGCGCAACCCGCAGCCGTAAATCCCCCAAAAGATTAAAACTTTCAGGCGGGGAAAGCAAAAAAGTTGGGATCTTTGGAACATAAACAACAAAAAGGAAACAAGAATTACCCGTTGACAAGTATGACATCGGATGGGTACTGCGCTTGAATCGCCATGTCACTTGCACCAGTCCACACAGAGAGAGAGAGAGAGAGAGAGAGAAGAAGAAGAAGAAGAAGAAGAAGAAGAAGCAGAATTAAGGAAACTTCAATGTGGAGCTTTGTGTTCTGTAACGCTTTCGTCTCGTCCGATGTAGTCGTCAGAAGCGAAGCGAAGAGAGCGCGACGGAGAGAGAGAGAGATGCGGTGGAGACGAAGGAAGGAGTCCAAAAGAACGGGCCGTGGGCTTCTCGATCGACGAGACGCAACGCGCTCGCGGTCGATGCGTTCGCGACGACACACGCACGCCCGTTGTGTTAATATAATCAATGGCTTGCCTCGATTGCGGATTCCGATGCCGTTTTTGTTGCGAAACATGGAAAGGATTGAGAATAGATTAAGCCACAAAGATGATGATTCGGGGAATGCAGGCACTCGCTGCAGTTATTGGAGAGATATATGGGATTCTATCCCCGCTGCTGTTGACTTGTGCCTCCTTGTTTATTCTTTTCCACCTTTGGCTTTCCCTGTCGAGAGGCTCACAATCTTCTTGGGGTTTGGATCGGCCTAAATTAACTTCTCCGACAGCTACACTTGTTGGGAATACTATTAGATTGACCCTCCCTAATTTTGCTTCTGGAAGAAAACAATCAACAAGATTCTCAATCTTGACGAATTAGAACTCCAACTTGTTTAATATTAGTCAAGAGAGGATAATTGGATTTTGTTGTTATATTTTACATGATCTACGATAAACAAGCAATTAAAGAAAAATCTTATTGGATTTGATTAATTCAAGTTTTACATGATCTACGATAAACTGCAATTAAACAAGCAGTTTCAAATCCCTTATCATCTAATTAATTCGCCATGACCACAAATACAATGCTGTCAAATCAGTTGAGAAACAAGTTTTTCTTTTTAATCATCACGGCCACTCCTGATTTGATAAACATGTTCTTTTTAATCATAATTTTTTGCTACATTAATCGGACGTGCATCATTTAAGCGGCAATATAATACTAACCACACAATTAAAGATAATATGTTAAGTGGTATTTGGTAACTATAGATTCTTATTGGTTGGAAAATAAGAGAATGACCTTATAAATGTCAGAGTGATCATTGGCAAAACTTTCTCTCGAGTCTGTGTGTTTATAGCGAAAAAGATAAATAATGAAATGAATCTTAAAAAGGATAAAATTGTTTGGATCACACAGACTGACCCTTATATTCGTATGAGAAACAATAGAGCAGAGGAGGCATTCACTGTAACAGAACCAAACAAACCATAACAGATGAAGCAAAAAGTATGTAGGGCGATAAGACATTACCAACACATCCAATGCTTTTGAGACCAGGAGAAGCCGTGAAACAAAGGGTAATAGATGATTGATTGATTGATTCCAGGTCTTTCCTTATCATCCAGGAGGCCGCGAGAGAGGGGGATGACTGCGACGAAAGACAGAGGGGAGGGGGAAAGAGAGAGAGAGAGAGAGACAGAGGCGGGCGTGACGATGACTAGTCTCGCCGCTCGCGATTAGGAGGAGAAGAAGGGAAATAGGGAAGATGTAGAGGGCATCTACGTCTATTATAATGGAGTATTTTAGAAATATAAAATAAGATGGTAAATAATAAAAAAGAGATTTAGTATAAAAAAAAGAAAAGAAAATGGAAGTTAGGATCGTACAAACAGGAGCGAGGCAGGTGGGTGAGTGCTGCCGTGTCACGTACTCCTCGGCCGTGATGCATCTCCTTTCTCATGTCTATCGAGTGTCCTCCGATGATGGCATTTATTGGGCGTCTCACATGAAAGCCACCAAGGCAGGCAATAATCCTCACCCAGCATTCTAAACATGTTCCAGCAACATTATATCGAGTAAAGACCGTGTAATTCTGAGCTGCTGAACAATGAATCCGAAGAAACATTAATCGGTAAACGAGTGCTCCGAGCAGGATTTACCTGTCAAAATTATATTATCGGTAAACTTCAATAGGTTGACGCAAGGGAAAGTGCAAAAGAAAAGAAAAATGGGGAAGAAATTGTCATCATCATTTCATCAATAACGTTGGATCACAACAAGTTAACCACTGGAAAATTTCCAAGGATAATTCTTAATTATCACACAACGGATGCTCTCATTTTATGCAAGCATTAGACAGACAAAGAGATGCAAGCAACATAGATAGCCATCACAGATCAAGAAAAGGAAGGAGGTAGTTTGTGCCATCTTCCATCAGATTTTATCTTAACTAGTGACTAGATGACACAAGTCAAAAACATTATACTCCGGGAGGCAGTATACCTGCCTATATAATTTCCATCTGCTTATTCTGTATATGAAAGAGTGTTCTTGATCATGGCCAGAAATACAGATGGGAGACTTGTTTCGTTCACCGACCACGACCAGCAACTCCTAATCTTCTTCTGCAAATTATCTTGCAAGCAACCATTCTCAATTTTTAGTACTTCTCTTCCTGCGCCTCCCTAAGCATGCCAATACAAGAGAAAGAACATAACATTATTGGTTTTTTTTCACAAAATTCCCTCCTAAGCTCCATGCCAAACAAACTTAAGATGGAACTGTTCGAACATTTCAATATATTCCAGGAAACAAACATGTTTGCCGACAGTTAAGTGAGTATAACGTAGGCCAAATACACCCACAAGTCAATTCATGCCACCACCATCAAGACTTAGGATAAGTTAGTTGATTTGTTTTTGCAACCAAAAGATGAAGCACTTACACATACCCTCTTGAGAGAATTAAGGAGAGGTTCAAAAACTTCAGGCAACTCCCTCAGTACTGGGATGTGGTGGTCATGCAGTGCGTTAATACATATATAAAAAAATTACAATTGCATGCTTACAAGAAAAATGATCAGATCTGGATACATTATTTAGGCAACCTGGTGCTTTCATGGAATTGATGAAACTTAGGCCTCTTACAGGATACAGTCTCTTTTAGCTTAATATTTTATTCTTTGTCCAAATTATTTTTCTATAATTTGATCTACTTCAACAGGGAAAGGAGGGGTGACAGGGTTTTATTTTTACAGTTTGACAAACGTCTTCTTTGCCAAAGAAGGTAAAGAAAGAAAATATATTGTTCTTCTACACTTCATGCGATATCATAACCAAATGTCACAGAGCAAATAATCCTAAAAATATTAAGTGTTGGAAATTTATGAGATTTCTATCAGTCACTGGCAAATTCAGGTCCAAACCCTCAATTTGAGTGGCTACTGTATCTCAATTTGAGTGGCTACTGTATCATATAGCAAGATCTATTATCTATCTTTTAGGCAGTAAGTATCATGAGTGGAGGAAGAGTCGCTTACCATTATTTCCCTTGCTCCAAAGGACTTGAGAATCGATGGTGGAAAGGTTCTGATCATCCAGGCGTTTCCATGTCTTTATTGATTTCACTCCTTGCCACTCACCATCCACTGTCTTCTCTAGATATGCCGACACCACCCTTGCTCTTCTTGACCACCCAGCCTTCCCATAGGCATGGTAACCAAACCCACCAGCATAGCAGAGTTGAATTCCAGTCAGCTTTCCACAGAAGTCATTCAGGTGATCATGCCCGGTGAAAACAGCCTTGACATCACCGGCTTCAACCATTGTCGCAAAAAACCCTGAATTTATGGATGCAGAGCTGATCCCCTCCTGCCTCACCCCAGTAAAATTGGATGCATCAAAACTGCTGTATTCTGGCAATGGGATGTGGAAGTACACAAGGCCAGGTGCAGCATTCTTTTGTGCCTCTGGCTTGCTCATATACTCTTTCTGCACGATATCACAATGCTCAAATGCGTAAGTGCATGCTGTAAAAGAATTATTTTAAATTTTTTTCTTTTATTTTTTTTGAATAATAAGCTGAAAAACAGTGTCATCTAGAGGAAATTTCCTTTAATTCAATTACGTGTAGTGCACAAGGAATCAATGAAAATTAAATTCCATTCTAACATGAGATACTTCAGGAATTTTTATGCATTGGACAGTTATTATGAGTGAGACCTTGACTGCATAGTATAGATTTGTGAGTACAACATCCATCAAGTGTGGGAATCATTATACCATACAAATATTCTTAAATGATTGAGGAAGACCATTTGCTTAGAGTACCTGCAAGCGGGAGGAGGTTCGCTCAAACCAAAGTTGCTGAGAGGGCTTGATCCACCCATACCCAGGGATTGAGGGAACCGTAGAATAATCACCACTGTCGAGGAAGTAGAGATTGAGCACTGATTTGTTGGCCAAAGATGAGCCCTCGGACCCATATACCTCCAAATTATAGTTACCAAAGCCATCAATATCAGTGCCATCCGGGTTGAGCCTTGACAGAGTATGGCGCATTCTGACGATGTGGCGCATCACACCCTCACGCGATAAGGTGGATTCCTGGTCATGGTTACCCAGAACCGCTGCCCATGGGAGCTCGAGAGTGACTGCTGGTGCAAATGCCATGTCCAGTGACTTTGCTGCATCAGTAGCATCAAAGCCAAATATGTTGTCACCTGTTCCAACAAGAGTCAATATATCAAAACCTAATGCAACAATATCCCCTCGGTGATTTTACAGTAGTCCCAAAACCATAGAAAATTAGGCAACAAACGAATTGATAATACAAAGTGGATGACTTATACTAAATGATTTAACAGGCTGAAAAGTTGTAGTTTTTTTTCCTTTTTTTACAAGAGTGCCACACTCTATTACACAGTTAATGCTATCAGAACCTGTATCTGAAATCTTTTACCATGGAAAAAGGTTTGTAACTATAGATTCACCAACTCCCGGCAAAGATATATAACTAATTCCATGTTAAAATGTATTATACAACCCACAGTAAACGGAAACAAGACGGTAACCTCCATCTATATTTCAAATAGAGAAGCTTAGCATGAATAATGTATTTCTTTTTTGAACTTCTCCGATAGATAATATATTCATATACAAAGGTGTGTTTCTGTACCTGAGTGTGTACAATGCTTCAAATATGTCGGCATTGTGTTAATTTGTATCTTTTTTCACATATTTGACACCATACAGGAGATCATAATCAAACTTACCCAGGTCATACATAGTCTAAATTTAGTTGGCTTCTACACTGCCTCTATATGGTTGGTATTGGATGAAAATTGCATTTCGTGGAGGCTTATAAACCAGATAGCTTGGTCAATGTGAACCTGACCCTTCTAATAATTGTGTCAAGTCCCTAAAACATGATCCATCTAGTACATGGATATTTAAAACTGATTTTCTTGAGCCATATAAATGATAATTCACTACATGGATTCGCCTGTGCATGATCCAATAATAACAATTTGATTGATATTGATCCGTTAATAACGCAACGCGATCTTACCCATTTAGGCAACCCAAGAACGACATGATTAGAACCCAAATATGACATTCATAGCATGCTTAATCCTATTATAATCAGGCCAATTCAAGTTAAGTTTAGATGTTTGTATCCCAAGTCCGATTGTGTATTGATTAACCAAGTTAAATGTGTCAGTCCATCAAGGACCAAACACATTTAAGTCCAACCAGAACCTACCAACCATGTCCTGTTGCCAACATTTACAGCAGTAAGATGCTATAGACAAAGTTTAAAGTCACATTTATGATTGTACAATGGTATGTTTATGGCATTAAACCATTTCAAGGATGCCGAAAATTCCATGAGCAATCCACTTGTCAAAGCTGTCGAGGGCATATTAAAGCAGAATGGAGCTCCATTCACATCCTTGATTCGTTTCATACTCATCATCCACCTCTATCCTTCAAGATTAAATGTCCAGTGGTCCCTCTGATAATAGCCAATTCCTACTTTCCCAATAGCTATTTGCTTGCGGCTGTCGGCATGAACTGAAGTCAGCTAATATACCAAATTGGTGGTCCTAACACGGCCCTAATCAAAATTGTAGGACAATGTCATTATCTGACTACAGTACAATCTCAACCAATGCGCAATCATCACCCCTGAATCGGTCACTTCCTTTTTTGAGATCTCAAACACTCAATACCAAGAGACTTAATCGATCAAAGCAAAACCCAAAGTATGAAAAGGAAAAGAAGGGGAAACTGTTGGGGCTGAATGATCGTACCCGTGAAGACGACGAGATCGGGGCGCTCGGCGCGGATGACGCGGTAGACGAAGGCGGTGGTGTTGAGATCGGAGCAGGTGGCGGTCTGGTTGGGGAAGACGTCGAGGCAGCCCGTCGATCTGCCGTCAGCGTAGTGCATGTCCGCCACCTGCAGAATCTTGAACTCACCCCGCCTCCCTCCACTGAAGCGGAGGCCGCCGGGCGTCGCCGCAGCACCACCTTCCCCTCTTCTCTGAAGAGCAGATCGCTCTTCTCGGGAATCGACGGAGACATCGGCAGCAGCGGCGGCGAGGATTAGGAGGAGAAGGGAGGAGAAGAGCAGCGAGAAGGAATCCATCGCGCTTTCACGCACGCAACAGACACACGAGCGTCTCGAGAGGGGGATAAATAAGCAATCCAAAGAACGATCCACCTCCTTCTCATCATCATCCTCATCATGTTGACTACGAAGACGCGATGGCCCCACAGCCGCAATGTCGCGTCATCGTGACTCGTTCCCCTGTCGAGTCAACCCGGGAAGAAAACCTCCTCCTAGGAACGCTCACGAGGGCCCCACGTCACCCTTGGAGCTGCGTGAACGCTGGCGGATCAAAGCAACGGACACAGACTGAATCACCCACCATCAAGTTTGTGAGCGCTGACATCAACCGGGCCGGTATCAGGGATGAGCCAATCCTGCAGTGAACAGTGCTTTTGAGACGCGTAGGCTGCTACTGTGGAGGCGTGTGGTCCAGCTCGTCCGATGATTTCAATGGGAATAAATGAGGAAGCAACCACCTCAGTGGCTCAAATTTAATGCATTTAAGTCGGAACGGAACAATGCATATTTTAAATGACGTGTCCTCTCTAAGCACTGACGTCAACACGATTGTTTGTTTCATTTGGAAGACTGAGAAACCAATTCCCCCGTGACTAAGTCAACCAATCTGACCTCGTTAGAATAAATGAGGAATCAACTCTCATCTGACTGTCAGTTTGTACATTAATAGGCCCAAGACAATTGTGGGCTAAAGTTAGCCCACAAATGCACTCAGTTCTTTCCTTCGGATATGGGCCGAGTGAGGGCACCCTCTAAGCCCAGTGCTGGCAAAGTAAGTCGCACGGCCTAATCGAGCCTTTCTTCCCCGTCTCTCCGAGGGTTTGGTGGCAAACGAGGGTTTGGTGCTACGATCTTCTTCCGGTCGTCTGCGAGACCAAGGAGCGCAAGAATCAAGGTACGTTTGTCTCCACGTTTAACGATACAAGAGGGTTTTTCCGATGTTCTTAATCTCGATGTGTTATATGAGGATCACTTGGCGTCTCTAGTTGCTTCCTTAATGAGTCGGAGAAGCAAGATATCTCAGGGGGACCTGATCTACCAAGACTGGCTACATTCATAGCTCGGATCTTCGGGATGCGTCCTTCTGATCGTTTCCGTTTCACATTATGAATCGGAAGCACATTTTTGGTCAAGAAACAGTTTATATCGAAGGACTGCGTGAATTGGGTTCCTGTTCTTCGAGCAGTGGAGGACCTTGATCGAATTCTATATCGATCATGCTTGGGTTGATCTGGTTTTGACTCAATACCATGATCTTTCATGTTTGCCTAGAAGGAACAATGGATGAAG